TGAAGATTTTAGAGATTGAGAGAATAGAGAATTAGAGAGTAGAGAATTAGAGAGTAGGATTGTATGAAGAAGGTGTATAAAATGTATAGAAAATAGGAGTATAAATAGGTTCCCCCCCTCCAACGGCTATAGATCCGTTTGCCAGCCAGCCCAACTTCAAACTTTTGGAAAAGAATTTTTTTTTTAAAAAAAAAAATAGCAGTTAGGCCCGGACCGGGCCGGTTCAAGAATATCGTGACCCGAGCCCGAACCGCCCTCCCCCCGGGCCGGGTCGACCCGAACCGCCAGCCACCCGGTTCACCGGGCCGGGCCGGGTAGCACAGTAACCGGGTCGGGCCGCCCGGCCCGAGTCCAGCCCTAAGCCCGGGTAATCCCCGGTTCTGGGTCGGGCCGGGCCTTTGTTAATTTTTTTTTCCTTTCCCTAGTTAACCCCCAACCCCCCCACCCCAAACCACCCCAAAGTCCCAAACCACCCCAAATGGCCCAAAATACCCAGCCCAACCCGAAAAGTAAAAAAAATTGAAAAAATAAAAATAAAAAGGCCCGGAACCGGGCCTGAACCGGCTGGGCTGGTTCATGATTTGGGGGGCCCGAGACCAGACCGGACCGGAACCCACGCGGGTCGGGCCTACCCGGACTGGTCACTGACCGGGCCACCGGGCCGGGCCGGAACAGTGCCGGGTCCGGCCACCCGGCCCGAGTCCAGGCCTACTTATATGTCAATCACATATTTGTGACTAAGGTTTTGAAATTGACTATATGTGAAACTCATATGGTCCATTAAGGTCTCAAATAGACCCAATAAGTACAAATATAAATCTATCGTTTCTTTGGTCCTTTTTAAACACTCATCAAACGTTTTCCATTTTCCGTTGTTTAAAAGTTTTTTTTGTTCCTTTTTATATACGTATTTAAGTAATTTTTGAATTGATGTTTTTAGATTTAGAATGTTTGAATAAGAAAATTTCATCAATATAATAATTCACCTAAATTCTTATTTATTTAATTCAATTTAACAAAACGATCTTTACCAAAGTTCCATATCCCAAATTCTATCAACCAAGGACCTGAAAGATAGCTAAACTATCAATATGGAAGTGTGGAACCTAAAAGATGAAATGTGTCCAATATATTATCCAAATGATTGAAAATTATCAATTTAGGATCCGAATGATTGAAAACAATCAATATAGGACCAAACTCATCATGAATATATACCTTTTTTATTTTAAAAAAGTTCAATATTACTCCGTATTTAGTTTATTATTCTAATAAACTTATGTGAAGAAAAATTCATCAAAAATAGCAATCTAATTAATAAAAGATTAAATAAATCAAAACCTATGAAATTGTATTGTGTATAAAAAGTGTAAAAGAATGTATAGAAATAACATTTTCTTAAACATGTGACCTTTAGATCTCACACGGCAACACCTTCAAGGCTTCACCAAGAATGAGTTTTGATGAGTATACGTAGTAATGTAGTATCCCAAATATAGTACTTCGTATATCCTGAGTCCTGACCTTATAGTATTTTGAAAAGATCTTAAAAAACTCTTCATATTTGTTTGCAAAAAAAAAAACTTCATATTCAAGTTTTCATAATGATGCGTAAGCTAACCATTTGGTCGTTTTGAAACTGCTCAACACAGCACGATTTCAATTAGTTATGTTTTACTCCGTATTAAAAACTTGTTTCTGTCGATGACATGGTAACGGCTATGGTTAACAAGTATAGAATTGTAAAGAACTTATTGGTGTTATAGTTTTTAGGATTTTTTACTTCGACTGTAATTTGTCTCAGACCAGATCAGACTTGGATAGTTATAAAAATACAAAGAAACCCGACCAGACCAGCAAATTACACTCCAAGTAAAAACATCCTTAGAGATGCTATGTAATAGAAAATGCCACAATAAATGGAGAGCTTGATCATTCTAATCCAATGAACTTTTTTGCATAGAAAAAATGAAGTATTGTGCAGAAATGCAGAATCCATGCTCCTCATGCTAGATTACTCAAGGACCCTGAAGGGGTGGTCATTGTGATAGTTATAGGTGTTCACCATAATGATGAAAATCGAAAAGGGTAGAACAGAGCATGAGGGGTTGTACACATGTGTGAGTACCAGAATCATCACTATGATGTTTCAACTTTCAAATGTCTAACCGCTAAGAGAAATGACAGCGAATTTCAGAAAACCTCAAGAAGACTGTCATCTCAGTGATGATCTATACCAACTCATTATGGTTGAAAAATAATTGGATATGGTTTTAAACTATAAATACAGATGAACACCAAAACAATAGGTAACAAACCTATCAAGGAAAATCTACTTAAGGAATCCCGCCAGACATCTGATATAGCTTCAGCAGGTCAGGAACTTTGCTCTCGTAGCATTTTACAAACTTACTTAGAAACTTTTCTTCAGATGCCACCAACATCCTTGAAAGTAGCTTTAGGTCCTCTGTTAACAAACCCTCCGCTGCCAGTGTTTGATACACAAAGGACCTAGGAATGATCCTTTTCTCCAAACTAAGCATAAACATCACTGGGGATTTCAAGATATCAGAAGACTTGAATCCCATTTTATTGACAAGAAAACCCATTCCTTGTAAAATCTTTTCTTCAGAGCATGCCATAATCCATGGGTTCCTCACAAAAGCTTCAATTATCTGGTCCTCTGAAAGTTCCCAATTCTTATAAGCCTGGACCTTCTTTTCCCAAGTCGATTTACTCATGGAACAAAACACATGCACTGCAACCATAAATGTTCTTCGGGATGGGTCAAACCCCATTCCCTTGATTTCCTCCAAAATCTTTACAAACTTATCCTTGTCCTTGATGAACAATCTAGGCTGGTGGTGAAGATAATGCGCAATTTTTGATTCAGGAACTTTCATTTCCTTCAGAATGTGAATATTGTATTGCATTATACCCTGAGTTGATATTGAAAAAATCCAAGGGCTTCGCTTTAGGGAAACTTTTAGCTTCTCAGGAGAAGGTAGAAACTGTTTAAGGAAATGTATGGTTGGGAAAAGATTATTCTCTAGGCTTCTCCTGAAAATACTAGGGCAACCACACAGCATAGTGGTGTAGTCTTCCACTGTGAAACCTAAAGACTTGAAAAATTCAATCTTGGGCAGAAGGATCTTTTGGGGATTACACAGCAGTACTTGGGGGGATCTTCTAACTACTTCTGAGATCTGGGTTTCTGTGAATCCATGATTTTTCAGGAAGGAAAGCACAGACTCCGGTTTATATGGGGTGTTGAATGTTATATAATTAGAGGCTGAAAGCGCCTTCTCTGGAGAAAATCCACATCTATCTACCAGATAAGAAACAACAAATGAATCCTTCTCGGCTCCAATTGAGGATACATTTCCAGCTTTTGTTACAAAGAGCTTGATAATAACAGTAAGCGAAGAACTAGCGGATGACCTCAAATGCGGATATGTCTTACGGGCGAAATTCAACATTTGATTTTTAGGCTGGAAGAAAATGCTCCCGGAGATCTTTGAAGAGGAGCGGCACTGATCGAGAAATCTTCGCAGGAGATCGAGAAAATAAATATCGAGTAATTCATTCATACAACAAAAATACCCTAATATTTATCGGCACAAACTTTATTAAACCTTAAACTGTTAAAGCACGAGAAATTTAGAAAACGATGTCGTATACCGGGAACTGGGAAGATCAGAAGAGATAAATGATAATCATATAATGTGATTTATGATGTTAATAATTGTACTCATTTTAGTTCTAAATCAGCCTAGACTAAACCATATCAAATTAATGTAGATCAAATTGTAACATTTGTAAAATAGAGAAATCATCTCATCAGGCCGGCCTGACGGGCTGCCCCGTTTGGGCACCTTCCCGGTGGAATTTTTTGATGAAATTTTTTGAGCATGTTCCTCATCAAGTCTAGTTTGTCCATACCAAATTTCAGCTCAAAATTCGATCGGGAAGGTCGTCAAATGATTTTTGCAAGTTAACTGGTCCGGAATATGTATTTTCCGGACCAGTTAACTTGCAAAAATCATTTGACGACCTTCCCGATCGAATTTTGAGCTGAAATTTGGTATGGACAAACTAGACTTGATGAGGAACATTCTCAAAAAATTTCATCAAAAAATTCCACCGGGAAGGTTCCCAAACGGGCTCGGCCGGACGGGGCAGCCCGTCAGGCCGGCCTGATGAGAAGAGCTCTCTTGTAAAATATATATAGAATAGACATATTCATACCAGACCAGATTAAAATATGGAAAATGCTAGGGGTACACAAGTTGTACACAACTTGTACACACAATGTCGGTCATAGACAATTGGTACGGAGTTGCCTGTGACCACATAAAAGAGTTTTCTGTGTACACAGACAAATTTTGTCTGTTTCCACTGACATTTACTTTTTTGTAACAAGTACACTGAGAGCCGCCTGACACTGACAAGTACTTTTTACAGAAAAAAAAGTAAATGTATGTGGAAACAGACAAAATTTGTCTGTGTACACAGACAACTCTTGTCTGTGGTCACAGACAACTCCGTACCAATTGTCTGTGATTGATATTGTGTGTACAAGTTGTGTACAACTTGTGTACCCCTAGCATTTTCCAATATACTAGCCCAAAAAGTTACATTCCAATTAAAATCATCCTTAGTCAATTAGTTAAAAATTCTTTACTTTTTTATATCTAAAATAGGGTGTTTGTCTCTATTAAAATGTCTATTTGAGTTCAGGATCACAAAATTACCAGTCCCATGATTAAAAGTGCATGTAAATATTCTTATTATATATGTTGAGTGATATGTAAATATCTATCCCTTTAATGATATTGAAATGATAATAAATATATGTACTTGCTATTATTTAGAAAATTGGACAATGCTTAATTACTTTGACTATGTTTAATTTATTCATGTATTAATATTTTTTATTGAGACCCGACAATTTTTCAACTGGTTCTAACAAATATGTTTATTCTTTTGAAAGAAGCAAGCTTATATTAAATTCATAGGTACCAGCAAACAAACACAACCCTTTATTTCGAACCAAAAGATGACTGAGGTGAGTGGAAGTAATCGACTACTCTGGCCGATAATGACTGTTTGCAGAGTTTTGGCTGATCAAGTTTATCAGTCATTTTACTATTATCAAGAACTCTTGTTTTCATGCACTCAATTGGATAATAATATGGTTGGGGGCACACTTTTATCGATCATTACTTCCTACCTATGATGATCAAAGTAGCAATTGTTCTTTCCAAGCATAGATGTTGAAGTACCATCAATAACTTATGCAACATTATCAGCCTGTACTTCTGGCCTGGGAAATACTTCAAGGTTTTGGTGTATAACAAATCATAATGAAAACAAAAATAGCTTCTGGGTGTCCATTTGATCAGGCTAAACTCATTCACTCATTCACAGGTAGCAGATCTCTTCTTTGCTGCTTCAAAAGTCTGCTCTTCAAAAGTCTGGTTGGTACAATCTTGTCAGCTTAATGACTTAAGCACTACACTAGAAGCAGAAAACTGCATGATAACAATCCTCAATTAATAAGACAATTGCAAGAATCCTCAAAAAAGACTTCCATCTAAATAATGATCTGGGCTGTCAGGGAAAAAATGAGACATTGCTTTACACAATATGTGAAGCTGAACACCAACCCAATACCTGGTAAAGAACAGTCAAGAAAGGTGAACTTTAGCATCACCTCTAGAAGAATGATATAGCTTCGGCAGGTCGGGAATCCTGTTCTCATAGCATTTTACAAACTTCTTAACAAACTTAGCTTCAGATAACACAAACATCCCAATAAATAGTTTTATGTCCTTCAACAAACCCTCAGCCGCCAATGCTTGATAAACGAGACATCTAGGAATAATCCTTTTCTCCAAACTAAGCATAATAAGCACCGGTTTTCTAAAGACATCAGAAGATTCCAAACCCAATTTGTTGACAAAAAAATCCATTCCCCGTAGAATTTTTTCTTCAGAACATGCCATAATCCACGGATTCCTCACAAAAGTTTCAAGAATCTGATCAGCTGAAAGCCCCCACTTCTTATAAGCACGCATCTTCTTTTCCCAAGTCAATCTAGTCATGGAAGAAGCCACATGAACTGCAACCATGAATAATTTTTTGGATGGGTCAAACCCCATTCCCTTGATATCCTCCAGAATCCTTTTAAACTCCTCCTTTTCCTTGGTGAACAGTCTAGGTTGGTTTTGAACATAATGCACAATGCTCAATTCAGGCACTTGCAATCTCCTCAAGAGTTCAATATTATCTTCCATTAGAGCCTGACATGATGTGGAGAAAATCCAAGGACTGCGTTTCAGGGGAACTTTTATTTGCTCTGGAGAAGAAAAAAACTGTTTAAGAAACTCTATTGTGGGTAAGAGTTGATTCCCCAAGCTTCTCTGCAAAATACTAGGGCCTCCACACAGCATAGCAGTATATTCCTCCACTGTGAAACCTACAGACTTCAAAAATTCAATCTTGGGCAAAAGGGTATTCTGAGGATGGCACGAAAGGATTGAGGGGCATCTTTGAATTAGTTTTGAGATCTGGGTTTCTGAGAATCCGTGGGTTTTCAGGAAGGAAAGCACAGAATCCGGGTTATCTGGAGTTTTGAATGTGATTCGTTTGGAAGCAGAAAATGCCTTTTCTGGAGCAAACCCACATTTATCTATCAGATAAGAAACTACAAATGATTCCTTCTTCGCTGCATTAGCGGATTTACCTCTAGCTTTTGTTACGTACAGCTTTATACCAGTGAGTGAAGATCTAGCAGAGGGCCTCAAATGCGGCAATGTCTTACTGACGAAATTTAACATTTGGTTTGTTCTGGTTGCATCAATTCAAAGGCGATGGAAATAATCACCCGAATACTTGATACGGAGTACAAGTGCATAAGTGAATATACTAATCAGATCCTTGAAGCGAAGCAGATCGCCGGGATTCCCGTTGGAAGAGAACATTAACCCTAAATTCGGCAGTTATATACGACGTCGTTAGTGTTTTTATCGAGCTTGGACATTACCATGCAACTTATTTTAGACAAAAATATTTGGGAAAAGTTTACAGACATTGTGGTACTGAGCGTTTAGATTTAAGATCTAGCTGGGTCAAGACTTATGCTTAAAAAATTATTGAAGAATTTGACTGTGCATCCATGTTTTGGGTTAAATTTGACTTTGCATCCTATTTTTAAAATAATTAATGTATGCATCCCAATTCATTACAAAATCATTTGACTTTGCACACCACTCCTTCACAATTTTAAGACTAATGAGGTGCATACATTAATGATTTTAAAAATGGGATGCAAAGTCAAATATCACCCAAAACATGATATGCAAAGTCAAATTGTTGCATTTTTTAAATCTAGGGTGGGTTAGAGGCTAAGTTGCCCCTCTACGGGCTCTACCTCCACCCCTGAAATCTGGTTTACAATTTCTTATTTGATAATTCAGGTGTCAGAGCTTACACTCACATAATCATGAAGTGAATTAGACTCCAAAGCCCCTAGACGAATTCGGCAGAACTTACATCACCTGTTATTCAGGCTGCTACTCCCATCACACGAACCCACTTCCCTCATTATCATCCTCTCGAAGAATCATCGAGAGCAAGACCTCACTTATCTCCTTGGTGGGAATGGAACTCAAGACATCTTGCAGTGGAATCTTGTTTACTTTTTATCAAAAAGGGTCTGTTGTATTGTACCGTTAGCATGGGCGGTTTTTACATACTAGCGACGTCTATTGTACGGTTGAGATGCCACTTTGACAGTTTGACTTATTTAAGTTATTTGGTTGAGTGAACCTCTTTTGCACTTTGTATCCTACATGGCACCACGTGCCACTTAATGTGGTAAATATGACTATTAACACTAAGCTGTCATATAAAATCTTTAACTACACGAGTACAAACCCGCCATGAAGTAGATGAGTTGTCATGGATTGGAAAATTGTACTACATACTACGTATTAGACTTTCATCAAACAAATGAGTGCAAGATTGAATCAAGTGTTAATCATTGTTAAGGTGGTTAGATCAAAAGGACCGATGGCTATTTTCAATTGTTATGCTTTAGTTTTGATGAGCTTTTCCGAGTGTTACATTATTCTTTTATTAAAGACTATGATGTTAGCTTTGTTCAGATGACCGACAATTCTCCTAGTTTTTTTTGCTAGCTTTTATATTGTTGGAGGTATGAACATTTGTATGATGAAGGATATGAGGTTTGTTTTAAGCTCACTTGATGGTTAATTATTCATGTTTCTTTTTCAAGGTGACTGTCTTTATGTCTACTCGTAGGATTACCAATTATGGTTGGAAAAGGATCATAGCCGGTATCGGTTTTTTCGGGTGGTCGTCTTTTTCAGGATTCTAAAGATTTCAATATAGGTGAATTCCAGTTAAAAAATTAATACACACAAGAGAAACTTTTCAAAATCATACAATGTGCCACATAAGTATATCATGTCATTATTATTATTATTATTATTATTATACATAATTAATTCACTTATTCTCTAAGATACATTAGGAAATAAAATTTAGATTCTATCGAGAAAATCTAGAATCTCAATTTTTTCGAGTGTTTTTTTGCACTTTGCATGCTACGTGGCATCATATGTCACTTAATGTGGTAAGTATTAATATTTACACTAACGGCCTGTTTGGATTGAGTGTTAGCGGATGTTAGTAATGGAAGTGTTAAGGAGTGTTTAGTTTAACACTTGTTTGAGAGAAAAATTAAAAAAATGTGGAGGTGTTAGTAAGTGTTTGAGGGTGCTAGCCATAACCTTCCTAACACCTATATTTACCACTTTTTTAACACTTTAATTTGGAGTGTAATGAAGTGTTGGACAAACTTTGCCCTCATACCCAACGTTCCTCATTCTTCCTCGACACTTCCGTAGCTCACGGACACGCTCCTCCCCATTCTTCTTTCGCAGCACAGAGAGTCGGTCTCCTTCACCTCTCAGTTCTTCATCTTTTTCAATTCTAGTGGAGACTATTCTTCTCCTCGACATCAATCACAAATTTGATGCAAGAATAGTTAAAGTTACATGTTGTCAAACTGAGAAGATGACCGACCTGTGAGTTGACGTCTTCCAGATATCTAGGGAGCTTCTTGATTTTTTCATCTATTACTAGTTTACTACGTATGATTTTGAAATTTTAATTATTATTCCATTTTCCATTTTTGAGTTTAACTTGATTTCATTTTCTTTTGAATAAAATAACTCAAACGGATTATATATAAATAAATGTACCTGCATACACACTATAAGTGCGTATTTCGTAATCTCATTTTTTTATTTATCGATATGTTTTTAATCATGTGCGTCTTTGTTAATAATTTAATAGGTATGAGGATATTTTTGTCAATTTAGGTGGAAACACTTCCGTTACTAACACCTCAATTTTTTAACTCTCCCAAACAAGGTAAGAATATGGGTAACACTTGCACTTACCTTCCCTTCCGGGCCCCTGTCAACACTTACTAACACTTCCATTACTAACACTTCTCAACACTCCATCCAAACAAGCCCTAAACAGCCGTGTGTATTTTTTAAAAAAATAATGAAAATTAATATTTTTGAAAATAAATTGATTTATATTAAACTCTGAAAATATAAAACTAAAGTTTTGGCGACTGGCAATATTAATTCATTTTATACACTTTCTTTATTCCTTCTCCACTCTTGTTCAATCTCTCCTTAGTTATAGGATATGGGTATCAATTATCCAACAACGGTGCTCTCGTTGAGAGGTTGAACACAATCAAGCGAGAAAACCTCCCCAAAATACCAAAAAATCCATACCAATCTTGAAAAAATCAAGCAAAAAACAAGCTGAAAATCTCAAGAAGGATCTCTGGAACGGTCCAGATGTGATGCAGTTTTTGCCAGACCTGAACTGGCTGGTCAACTGGAGCAGTTCAATGTCAAAAAGAGGACCAGATCAACGTCCACTCTGGGACCAGATCCGACGTTGGTCCGACGACCAGGAGCTCCGGCGAAGCACGGCCCCAGTGTCGATGCCTCGTTAGCTCTTACTTGTCCACCCACCTCGCTAGCTCTTAGCTCCGGCGAAGCACGACCCCAGGAACTCTGGCTTGGTAGTATCCGCCATAAATGGTGGGACTGAAGCTCCTGGAAGTGAGGACGTAGGCCGATGAACCAAAGCACGAACGGTAATACGGAATCGATAGAAGCACCGACACCGCTACCTCCTGACAAACCACCGGGAACACTCCGACCGTCTGCACCTTCTGGTGAAGTTCGCTATAACTGGTCGTCCGTCTCCTAGGTCAGTCAACTTAGTTTCTGGAGCTTAAACCTTAAATATCCACCATTAATGGCCGCTGAAGCTCCAGGAGCAGTAAATTGGAACTGCCCTACTCACTGCTTTACTCAATCGAAACCGCCAGGAGCTCCATGAGGAGTAAGATTGTAAGAATGTATCTTACTCACTTTCGCAGGTGCTGCCGTCATCCTAGCGAGCTTGCTCCGGTCAGTTGTCACCTGTACGAAGTAGGCAGCAATAGCCTGAAGGCTACTCTCTTGGGGCTTAGTTGCAGGAGGGATCTACTTGCCGCAGTAGATACGTCTGGAGTCACGCGGACAGATCTGCTCCAAAGAAACCAAAGTTGTGGTCTATTATTAGGAGGACAAAGTTGATCAAAATAAGTGGTGGGCTTCCCCAATAAATCAAAAATCCAATCTCTATGCAGCCCCACCGTGATGGTGATACAGAAAATGCCTCAATAGCTTCGGTGGCCGAAAGAAGTTGGCTAGCTGGACCGGTGTGTGGGTTCCATCTGACTCACTCAACTATTGGGAAGTGATGCCCTAATCAATGGCAGTATCAATAAGACGGCGGCGGACCAGGGAAGATTGGGCCTAAGTGAGAAACGATGGCCAGAATACCTTGGGACCAAACAAGTTACTGGACAGGATACAATTTCAGCGACATATTTCAGCCCAATCAGTCCATTATTTCAACCCACTTCAAAAAGATAAGTATCTTTAATTTTAATATTATTTATATTTATTTTAATCAATATTTTTTGTCGGTTGAATGTCACACTATCACGCACTTATGATCAAATGCCTAGTAGAGTGTGGTTTGAGACCCATCACTGGGATTTAAAGCCCTGACTCTCAGGCACAAAGCTCTGACTCTCAGGCACGAAGACCGGTCTTAGTCATTCCTCGAGTGGCGACCGTTGCTTATGAATGGCTCACACATCCATTTTACTAAGTATTTTATCATTACATTAACAATTCACATCTCCACTTGTTTCAAGTGGCGAACTCCCGATCGGGAACATAAATCCCAAGAAAAAAAATTATATGTATGTTAAATATGTTGGTACAAATATGACTTTACTCATTTTCACCTCGTCTCCACTCGCCTCAAAGAGTGGGGACTGGGGGACTGAGGGGTCAGAGTTTCTAGATGAGCAGAAAATATCACGCATGAGCAGGAACGAGAGCTGAGTCAGATGAAGACGGGTTGAGCTAGACAAAAGTGATTATGCCGGAGGGGGCCTACCTTCCTTGTTTCATGTTGGGGGCGCTAGGTGTACTCTTTTCCCTTTATTAGGATTTTTTCCCACTGGGTTTTTTCCTAGTAAAGGTTTTTAACGAGGCACCTCCCCATCATGGACGAGGGTGGTGGTCCCCCGGCCGGAGAGGAAGAAACCAAAGACAGAAGAACGTTGCAGCTACAGTTTGGACTACTCCCTTTCACCTCGAGTACTCTCGGCTCAGGGAGTGGGGGACTCTTGATGGAGTATATGGACTCCGACCCCCCGGTTTGCCGACTATTGGGCTTGGACAGCGGCCCACACACGTTTAGCATATTCATATTATTGTACATTATTATTCAGATGTTCTAGATTAGCTTTTTATTCTATCAGTCCATTTATGTAACCGGGTCTGTCAGGCCCATATTAGAGGCCCAGACCCGGATTTTCCTTATATATACTCCTTATAGGAGGCTTGCAACTCATACAACCAATATTAATTCATTCTATACACTTTCTTTATTCCTTCTCCACTC